TCTCTGGCAGCTTTGTGAACTGAGGTGTGGTGCTGTCACCTTTTCACCTGGAACACAAATGTGAAGGAAGCAGCCACCCCTGCGCCAGGAATTCAGACTTCAGCCGCAGACAAGGGAGACCACTGGGAAGCGGGGCTGAGTCCTCCATGCAGGTGCAACATGCAGAACTCTGACCTGATAGCACTTGAGGTCAAAGACCCAGGCAGCCCAGCCACCTCTGTGGAGCAGCGCACCCCAAAGAGCAAAAGCCTGGGGGCAGCCACTCCCTGGCCTTCTCTGAACATCCGATCCCTCCCATAATTTAACTGCCTGTCCCACATAATTATATTTCTCCTGTTTATGAGCTTAGAGCAATGCTAGTTCCCAATAACTAGAAGCTTAATAAGGCTGAATTATAATGAGTGTCCTACAGAATTACACACTGCATTAACACCAAATGAGTTCATTAGAAATTCATTAGCAATGATTCCTGTGGCCGCCACAGGAATTCATCACCACAAGCCTGCAGCAGGAGAGAGGCCAATGAGTAATTGCCCCTGGGAGTGGGAAGACCTTTCGGCATCTGACTTTGCCTGGAAGCAGTATTTTTTTGAGGTCATGGGTTGCTTTGGATGTGAGTTGGATGTGAGCTTATGTGGATGTTGCTAGAACTGCCCTCTGCTCCTCCTCTTCCTTCCCAAGTCTCGGCGCTAGCAGAATTAGGCTGCAAATGTGGGGTGGGCAGAGCTGTGAAACTGCGGTGGGCACTGGTGTTCTCACCCTCTGACCTTCTGATGGAAACTTCCCTGGTACAGGACAAGGAACCCTCAAGAGCCTGCACTACTCAGCCTCAGGCAATATAGATCAAGATGCTCCAGCCACCTTGAGGACAGATCTTGTGCCCAGCAGTCCCCACCAGCTGGGACAGAGAAGTCCAGGAGAGGAGCCAGCTTAAGGGTAGGAGAATAGGAGCTTGCACATGTTCAGTTTTGGGGATGTTGGATTGGCAGTTGAATACACTGTGTCCAGAGGAGTGATCTGAATGGAGACATAAGGAAAAAAATTGAGAGTCATCAGCCCTGGATGGCATTTAGAGCTCTGGGTTCCATGAGATTGGGAAGAGGACAGTGCCAGCAGAACAAACAGGAAGGCCGCCCTGGGGCATCTGACAGCTGGAGCTGAGGGAGATGCTTTGTGCTGGGTAGCCTGGGAAGGCCCAGCCAGCCTGGCTCTCACCTGACGCACGCTGCCGGCCTCTGTAGAAAGCGCTTTACAGATAGAGTTCATGTAATGCTAGCACCATCCTTTGGGTGGTCTAGCCCTAACTCTGAGATGAGGAAATCGAGACACAGAAAGATAAATAAATTGCTCGAAGCCACCTAGCCAGTGAGTGGCAGAACTGGGATCCAAATCTGGCAGCCTTGCCTCAGCTTCCCAGGGGAAGGCTGAATTTCTTAGCCTTGACATTTTGGGGGAGTTGGTGGCAGGGATCACACCATGGCTTTGTGCCTTCTAGACAGGTGCTCTACCGGGTCCCCAGTTGAGAGTAGACCCAGGACGACACTGTAGAATGCATTGCCCTCAGGGCTGTGGCATTTTAGAATCAGCCCCTGTGAACATTTCAAATTTTGGCTGAGGAGAGAGGGAGTAGAGTAGATGTAGGAGTCAGCAGCTGGCTCACGGCCTCTTCTGGCAGGGACCCAAGCACCTGTGTCCCCACCCTCCTCTGTATATTACTCTCAGAACAGTCCTGTCTGAGGCAGGAGAGTCCAGGGGAAAGTGGGGTGCCTGGTGATTAGCCTTGGGACCCTTCTTATCTCCAGTGGGGTGGAGTTCTCTGTTGTTTCATTGGCCCATAAAACCTTGCTGTGGGAGGAGGCAGCCCGAGTTCACTCACCCTTGGGGTGTTTGTCAGTGTGCACCTCTGCAAGCTGGGGAGCCCAGGTGGAGAGTGGTGCAGGGTGTGAGCGGACAGAGGGCAGCAGGTCGTGTGCACATGCTTGACTCCTGAGGAGGCAGAGGGGAGGCTGAGTCAGGTATTTCTCCTGCACAACCCCACTTCCACCCTGTCCTGGGCATTGCCCTTGGATGAGGAGGGCAGGAGAGAGGCACTGGAAAGGGGGCTGACGCAGCTGGCCAATGCAGCTGGAGCTTCCAGCCAGCTTCCTGCATGCATGTGTGTATTCCCTGGTGCTGCTGCTCCATACCATTGGCTTCTTGGGAACAGTGACAGTATCCATTCCATAAAACTGGTCTGAAAAGGATGCAAGCAAAAATGTGGAAAGCACTCAGCAGAATCTAATGTGTAGTGAACACCAAGTACCTGTCTGTTGTGACTGTCATGGGTATTCCATCACTGACATAAGTGAGGGGAAATTTGAACTTAGCTCTGGGCAAGCATATCTTCCTGAAAGGCAAGAGAGTAACAGAAAAACTTTAAATAGAAAAATCCTAGACTGGGCAGTAGTTGGTGCATGTCTGGAATCGCAGTGTCCTGGGAGGCTAAGGCAGGAGGATAGAAAGTTGACAAGACTCTCTTGCAAACAGAAAGGGCTAGGGTTTTAGCTCAGTGCAAAGAGCCTGGATGTAATTCCCAAGACTGCAAAGGAGATCCTTTGCTCCAGGAATTTCATCTATAGAAATTCAACCTCAGCAAATAATCTTAGTAATAATCTGCTATGTACATTCAGAGGTGTGAACAAGAATATTTACATCAGAGTTATTTATAATAGAAAAAAAGATTGGGGCTGGGGAGATAGCTTGGTGGTCTAAGCACATGCCTGGCTAGCACAAGGATGCAGGTTCGATTCCTGGTACTGCATGCTGTGCTGGCCCCAGAACCCCGGGTGTGCTGTGAAACTGGGCATGGTAGCACACGCCTGTAATCCCAGTGCTGGGGAGGCTGAGACAGGAAGATCACTACAAATCCAAGCTGTGCAGCAAGACCCTGTACCAAATTAAAAAAAAAAAAAAGATTGGAAACAGCCTAAAGATCCAGCCATAGTTAGGTAAATGACGAAACACAGATACAGCAGAATACTCTGGAGCTATGTATTTTTTGTAGTATTGGGACTCGAATCCAGACCTTGCACATATGAGGCAAGTGCTCTCCACTACACTACTAGCCCCCTAGAGGGATTTAAAAGGATCTGATGTACCATTAGGGAGCTATACAAACATATGCCTATATTATTATATCAAAAAGAGTGGAGCAGGGCAATGTAACTGTTCTCTCTGTCCCTCTCTGGTTTTTGATATAGGGCCTTACTTTGTAGCACAAGGTGTTCTTGTAATTCGGATCTCCTTCTCAGCCTCTCAGATGCTGTGACCACAGCGAAGCACCAACTGGGGATATAGCCCAGTAGCACAAGCACCTGCCTGGCAAGTGTAAGGTCCTGAGTTTCGGTTGTTCAGGGGACCATGTGCTAAGCATGTGCTCCTCCACTAGAATACATCCCCAGCCCCTACAATTTCAGGTATATTAGAAAGTGTATGTGGGGCCGGCGAGATAGCTCAGTGGTCTAAAGTGCCTGCTTAGACAGGCTTAGGCAAGCTTGCAAGGACCAGGGTTCGATCCCGGGCACCACATGCTGCACCAGCACCCCTCCCCCACCAACCCCCCCCCCCAAAAAAAAAAAAAAAAAAAAAAAAGGAAAGAAAGTGTATCCATGCACATAGAAGCCTGGAAAGAAAGATACCGAACTCATCGAGGGCCACCACTGCCAGGACGGTTATTTGTGCTGACTTAGTTGAAATTTTAGTATGTTGTATATAATTCATCACCAGAAAGATGTGTGTGTGTGTGTGTGTGTGTGTGTGTGTGTGTGTGTATGAAATGACTACTGCCTGGGATGAGGAACTCCTAGACAGGTGATTGAAGACTGATTAAATGGGACAAAATTGGTTTTTCATCAGTGCACAAATTGCTTAGCCCTAGGTTGGGGAGTTGGCAGGATTCTCCCTCGGGTAGAAATAATGGAGATTCATGGAAAAGAGCCCTGGAAAAGATGACAGACTTGGGGCTGGGGAGATGGCTCAGTGGAATAAGTGCCTCTCTGGCAAGCGCAAGGGCCTGAGACTCACAGAGACTGTGATTAGCAGTGATAGTGATGGCAGCGAGGGCCTTCCTCTGGCCCTTTGGGCTTCATGCTGCCCCATCTGTGTGAGCACGGAGCAAGCCCGGGAGGAAGCCGCTGGAGCCTGGCCCTGTAGGTGGTTCTGGGAAACAGAACCAGACCAGAAGTCCCTAGTCCCATCCAGCTTAAAGCTTGAGCAAAGTGAAGGTTGGTGCTCCCGGCACGTGCCTGGCACGTGGCAGTCTTTAGAGGGGTCCCTCCTCCAAGTGCCTGCGCAGTTCCTGCAGCTGATTTGGTCTGCTCCTGTCATCTCCATCCTTGCAAAGCCTGGGGTCCTGCAAGGGCGCCTGGCTGTAGCCAAGCTCTCCACCTCCCCTCTAGTATTCCCTCATCCTAGAATACATCTTGCTTCGTTCTCAGTTGCCTCCAACCTCCCTGGCTTTCCGCTCATCCAAATTGCACTGGCCTTTCGGGACCCAGATAAAATGCCACCTCTTCCCCAGTTGTGCATGAACCCCTGCAGCCAGACACCCTGACTCCTTCCCTGTGTCTCAGGCCATGCTCTGTTTCAGTAGGGAACCTGTCAGCCCTGCTCACACCTTCTGCTGTGTGTGCTTTGTGCCTGGACAGGGCAGGGAGCTCTTTTGGGAAAGGCATGTGTCTCACGCATCTGAATTTGTGTGGAGATGGGCCCACCGGCACAGGTGCTCGATGCCATGTGATGAAAGAGAAAGTGAGGCAGTGTGGAGGACAGGGACCTGTCAGGCCATGGATGGGTGGAGGAGGGACAGGCAGGGGGTGAATGACTCCTCTCAGCTGCTCGGCCCTGACCTTGCGGGCAATGGGAGTACCTGGTGATTTTCCCAGGTGAACGACCTCAGGGCTCTGCCCACATCATAAAACAGCAATGCTTTCTTGTTGGGGGCAGAAGGAAGAATGGGGTAATTGGGGGGCTGAGCCTCCGCTGCGGGAGGGTTTATAAGCTGGGACTCTGGAACCCTCAGCATCAACCTCTTCCTCAGCCTCTTCCTGTCTTGCTGCTTCTGGGCTCCACTCTCTCTGCAGAATGGCCTTCAGCGGCAAGTTCCAGGTGGAAAGTGAGAAGAACTATGATGAATTCATGAAGCGCCTTGGTGAGTGAGCTCCTGAGCCTGCTGGGCCCCGGGCCTGCTGCAGCCATCCCTGGGCCAGAAGCCAGGCCTCTGGGGCGGAAGGGGCAGGACTGACTTCATTGGTTCACTCACAAATTTGCTGGGCAACTATCCTTTCTTTTTTTGTCTTTTTGTGGCAGGGTTTCACTATATAGTTCAGGCCAGGCTTGAACTTGTGGCTTCTAATCCTCCTGCCTCTGCCTCCCCAGTGCTGGGATTACAGGCACGCACTACCATGCCCACCTGATCTCAGTGGCCCACTCAGTGCTTGCCTAAGCAGGAGCTTAGTCTGCTGAGCTATCTTGCCAGTCATCTTTGTTTTTTTCCCCGGTACTGGGGTTTGAACCCATGGTCTTCATACTGAGCTACATCCTTAGCCTTTTGGCTTTTATTGAGACAGGGTCTCACTAAGTCACCTCAAACTTGGGATCCTCCTGCCTCAGCCTCCCAGAGTGCTGGGATCACAGGTATCCACTGCAGGCCAGGTGTAGAAGACATAACCTTGAAGACCCCATTCACCGCAAGAAGTCTGTGTGCCAGGTGTAGTACCACTTACACGCCAGGGGCTTTACCAGACGCGGCCATTGGCCATGGTGAATTTGATCCTCGCAGTAGCCCTGTGAAGGGGTCCTGTTATCCCATCTTATAGTGGCCATGGTGAATTTGATCCTCGCAGTAGCCCTGTGAAGGGGTCCTGTTATCCCATCTTATAGATAGAAATACTGAGGCACATGCAGCACGCCTCCTGGCGCAGCTGGCATGTGTAGATCTGTGCCATCTGTCCTGGGCACTGTACTATATCAGTTGTGGGGCCAGCGGCCCCCCAAAGCGGAAAGCACTCTTTGTTCAAATCACAGGGTGGCAAAAAGTCTTACACAGTCCCTCTGCTCTTCACGGAACCCAGGCCTCCCCAGTGACGTGCTTGAAAAGGGTCGCAATGCTAAGATCGTCACTGAGGTGCAGCAGGACGGGCAGGACTTCACCTGGTCGCAGTCCTACTCCGGGGGCCATCTCTTTACCAACAAGTTCACCATTGGCAAAGAGAGTGACATGGTGTCTTTGGCGGGCAAGAACTTCAAGGTGAGAGGCCCCTGGCCACCCTCCTTCCCTGCTTTCGCTCTCGACAGAGGCGCCTGCTCCCCAAAGCATTTTGTGGTCTGCCAGCTGTGCCAGGCACTCCAGGTGGTTGGCTACTGACGGCACCTTGTTTTTAATGGTCGCCATCTGGAATAGACACAGTGGTGACCGTGAAATAGCAAAATAGCTGGTGCTGCCGGGCAGTCAGCGGAGCATAGCACAGGCCCAATTACCCTCCCCTTGGTCCTCAAGGGGTGTGGAGCCGAGCCCCAGGATTAAGCAGCTGGCCCCTCAGGCACAAGGCAGGTTCCCACGGGGGACCCCTCGGCTGCTGGAGGCCCTGGCAGTGCAGGTTCCACCTTGTGTTTCCCTCCCAGGCCACTGTGAAGATGGAGGGCGGGAAGATAGTGGCGGAGTTTCCCAACTATCGCCACACCTCGGAGATTGTGGGTGACAAGCTGGTGGAGGTGAGTGTCCTGCCCAGTTCTGCCTTCTGCCCCAGCCCCAGTCCCCAGGAGGTGGGCGTTGGGGCGGCTGGCACTGCTCTCACACGGGGTGACTCGATCCCCTTTGATTTCATACTCCCTGGGTTCTGGTAGGTGGGGAGACTGAGGCGTGAGACAGCTGAGCGAGCACTGGGGTGCAGAGCTTCCTCAGAGCCCGGGCTGGCCCAGCGAGGCAGGCCGACTGCAGGCTGTGGTCCTGAGGTGACATGGCAGCTGCTCGCCCTGCCATTTCCATGAGCCTTCAGGCCCTTCTTCCCTGCCTTGTGACTTTTCAAACAATTTTTTTTTTTTTCCCCCAGAACTGGGGATTGAACTCAGATCCTTGACATTTGCCAGTCAAGCGCTTATCCTACTGAGCCATCTCCCCGGCCCCTGTGACTTTTCAAAAGAAGCTGGAAATTTGCATTTCTCCATGAAATCTCCACATGATCAATTTTTTTTTTTTTTTCAGAACCGGGGATAGAACTCAGGTCCCTGCGCTTGCTAGGGAAGTGCTTATTCCACTGAGCCATCTCCCTGGCCCCTACATGATCAAATGTTGGCTACTAGTTAAATGTTTGGTGTGGGAGTGAGGCCAACACACCCCCCTGGGGGACCTGCAGCTACCAGGCTCGCTGGGCAACCACAGTCAGGGCTGCTGGTGCCTTCAGTTCTTCTCTGCCTCCTCCCCTCAGGTCTCTAGCGCAGTCCCAGGTGGGCGGGTGGGTGTGAGGCTGGAAGGGAGAAGAAGGCGAGTTTGGAGGCCTCACTCCCACACCAAGCCTGTGACCCGGCCAGGTCTGGGCGGGTGAGCCTGGAAGGAGCTTCCCTTTTCTCCTCTTGGGGGGTGAAGGCAGGGTGGCCTCTCCTCTACCTTCTACAGCCTGGGGCACTGAGCCGGAAGCACAGAACAGCAGCCCTAATCCCCTGTGGACATTTTATTTAGAGACTAAGACCCCATAAATTGTCACTTCCCTCTGCTGCTGTCTCAGAGACAGTGTGCAGTGGATCCAAGGCCACACGGCTAGAGTGTGGCAAGGTGTATTCAGCCACTAAGTTCTAGGCCAGGCTCTCTGCCTATTCTCTGCAGACTATGGGGCCTTTTCCTTTCTCCTTCATTTTTTAATTTTTTAAAGAATTAAAACACAGGGCCAGGGAGATGGCTCAGTGAAATAAGCACTTCTCTGGCAAGTGCAAGAGTCTGAGTTCAATCCCCAGTTCTGGAAAAAAAAAAAAAAAAAAAGAATTAAAAAACAAATAGGTGTATTGTGTTGAACCAAGTCCAGACAGAAAAGTGAATATCCTTCTTTCTTCTCGGGGTGAAAGCTGGCCACCTGCACATCGGGAAAGCTCCAGACGCTTTTCCATGGGACGGTCGGCCCTGGTGCTGGCTCCCCAGCTGTGAGGCGTACAGGGACAGCCAGGCCAGGGGGCCGGAGGTGGGCTGTGGCTGCGGCTGCGAAAGGGTAGTTTCCACATGAGAACAAGCTTCCCCTTCCCCCTGTGTCTCGGTGTGGGCAGCTCCTAGGCTGCCCCACAGCCTCCTGGTGTGCACAGAAGGCGGTGCGGTACCCAGCATGGATGACATGGACGGAGGCAGGGTGGTGCCCCACGGCCATGCTGTCACTCACATTCTCGCCACAGAGGCTGCTTTGCAGCTTCTAGGACTCTTGGGGTCTCCCTCTAGCTGTGCCCTATGGTCTGGCCACAGAGTGTGGCACTGACTCCCTCTGTCCCGGCTGCTTCTTTCAGATCTCCTCCATTGGAGACGTGACCTACGAGCGTGTGAGCAAGAGGCTGGCCTAAGCCACCAGGCTGGACTCCATGGGGCTACAGAGCCACCAATAAAACCGATCTAAGAGCAGATGGCTCTCTCTTACTGTCTTCTGGTGTCTGGGGGCAGCCTCTGGAAGGAGTGGGGTGGGAAGGTCCCTGAGGACGGCTACACAGGTCACATGGGCCTCCCATGGCTGAGGTCCCTGCGGGATGAAAACTGTGGGGAAAGGCCACGGGGGTGGGGTGGGGTGGCTGGGAAGCAGGTGGTACCTTTCTGTGGACCCCTCACCCTATCAGGCCACTGTCTCCTTTAAGGAGAAGTCTCCTGGGAGGAGACACATGGATCCCCTCAGACGAACCACAGGATAAGTTTATCAGGACGCTGGACAGGAGGAGGGGGTGGCAGCTCCAGCTCCAGGGAGGACCTGGCTGCTGGGCTCATGGCATGGTGGGAACCAGGCTCAGTGCACCGTGGAAGCCATACCACAATCAAGAGGGCTGGGAGCATTGGCTGGGTCACTGGGACCCTGGGGAGGGGTGGAGGGCCTGGCTTGAGCAGGACTGGGGTGGCATCGAGCTCCAACATGGGGTAGGAAGGTGGTGTGCTTGTCCTCTGGTGAGACTGCCTAACCCACAGCATCGCTTGTCTGTCCTTGGGAGCATCCATCACAGCTGAGCACCAGCCCTATCAATATTTTTCCAAGTAACAATTCACCAATTTTTACTACAGTGAAAACTTCATACCAGTTCCATACATGGAAAGTCAATTCTTATTTGCCAAGATAAGTTAAAACTATTAAAATAGAGCTGAACTATGTGGACCTTGTAGCCAGGCTCTGATGCCTGCCCAAGCCGATGCCTCCCCTGGGTTAAAAGAGTGAGAGAACTCTCTTTAAAATAAATTGAAAGCACAAGATCCCAAATCTGATCCTCGGGATATATACACACACATTATAAAGAAAGGAAAAAAAAAAGTGAGAGAAGTAAACTTGTAGACTTGTATCACCTGGAAAACTTTCACCTTAATGAAGTTACTGCAAGACCGTGGAAAAGAGCACACATTTACCATAGACCCATCAGCCAAGTAGGCGGTGCACACCTGCAATCCCTAGCTGCTCAGGAGGCAGACAGGAGCATCCCAAGCTCAAGGCCAGCCGGGGCAACTGAGCAAGATCCTGTCTCAAAATAAAGGGGTGCAGTTTGATGGTACAAAGGATAAGTTGAATTACTGAAAGCAGTAAATTATCTTCAATGTCAAAGTCCTGCAAACAGGGTGTAAGAAATCAGGTTTGTCCAGGGACTGGCAAGCATCAGGTCCTCTGCCCTGGTAACCCCTACCTTTTGCCTCGGGGCAGCCTGGCCCAGAGGTTCCTGCCTCCTCAGAAACCCCGAGACCTGGTTATCTTGCCAAGAGCCACTCCGGCCTCTTGCCACCCACCCACTGAGCCAGGACCCTACGAACTCCATCGTTTTGCCAAGATTTATTGCTAATTAAGTGAGCTAGGTAAGCATTAAATTAAACTAGCAGTATGGCTGTTTCCCCTCCAGACTGAATAATTACTCATAATGAGCTTGGATAATAAGTCTCTAAGTAACAGAGTTAACCACAATTAGGCTGAAAACTGAAAAAGGAGAGGAGGAGGAGGAGGGAAAGGAGGAGGGGAGGAGGGGAAAGGAGAAGAAAGGGGGAGAGGTGGTAGACAGAAGGGAGAGAGAGACTTCAAGGACAACTTCAAATTGTTGGCAGCAAACTCTAAGTCCACAGTGTCACTGACTCTTGGAATATGAAACAGCAGGAACTCAGATACAACCACCATAGTTTAGATTTTGTACTTCACAGCTGCAGATGCTGAGGTTTCCAAGGTCACCCAAGGTCATGCAGCGAACAGCGAGTGATGAACTGGGCTTCACCCCTCATGGAGGTCTTTCTTCTCCCCCCCTCACCCCCCCCGCAGAACTCGGGATTGAACTCAGGCCCTTGCACTTGCCGGGCAAGTGCTTATTCTATTGAGCTGTCTCCCCGGCCCCCCGTTTTTCCCCCTATTTTTTTTTAATGTTTATTTATTTTATGGTCAGCTCAGCCCACCCTTGGGGGCGGGGCTGGCATGGCATGTGGTGCTGGGGATCGAACCGAGGTCCCCGCATGCTTGCCTAAGCTTGCCTAAGCAGGTGCTTTAGACCACTGAGCTATCTCGCCATCCCTTTCCCCCTATTTTTAATGAGCAGAAAATATTTATTGGGGGAAAGAAAGCTCCTGTCTGAGAGAGGGACAGGCTGGGGCCCCAAGTGGGTGGTCCCCGGGGAGCTGTCTCTTCCAGGGACTTTTGTAGAGAAAAATCATGAGGGGGGGTCTATGGTGGTGGAGAACATGGGAACTTGCTTAGGTGGGCATGAGGTGAGACAAAACTATGAAAATTGAAGGATTTTTTTTTTTTTTTTTGGCTAGCTCAAGTTGCCTTATTGGCCAGGTGTGGTTCGACTTGTGGAGCTGGGGATTGAACCACGGTTCTCTGCACCTGACTGAGTTTGCCCAAGCAGGCGCTTTAAACAACTGAGCTAACCCACCAGCCCCATTTTTTTGTTTTCGGTACTGGGGATTGAACTCAAGACCTTGTACTCTCCAGACAAGCGCTTATTCTACTGAACTATCTCCCCGGCCCGGAGACCACTGTTTCTGAGTTCAGCTGGAGGGCAGTGTCCAGTTCACCGGCTTCAGGCCTCTGGGCAGGCAGGCTTCCTCAGTCAGGAGAGGTAAGTGAGCCAGGTGTGGCGGTACAGTCCTTTAATGCCACACCCTGGGAGACAGAGGCAGGAGGAATGCAAGTTTGAGCCCAGCCTTGGGAATCTAGCTTGTGGAGGAACACGTGGGCGACTCTCCTCGAAGGAGGAACAACTGCCTCAGTTTTGGCCGAGCCTGGCCCTATTTCCATGTATTGGTGTGTTCAGGCCTGGCCAGAGCTTCAAGCAACGTGTATCAACTGACAAGGTACTGAGGGGTAGTCTGTAAAGCAAAGACAATAGGGCAGTGTTTCTCCAGTCCCAGAGCTCCCTCATGTGAGCTGGGGCAGGGTGGGAAGGAGAGCCGTGCTCCACGCAGTCTGCTGTCAGCTGGGATCTATGCCTTCCCAGGGCATAAGGGATTACACATCATAGCTCAAACACTGACCTCAAAACATCTGATGGGGGGCTGGAGAGATAGCTCAGTAGAATAAATGCTTGCCTGCCCCCCCAAAAAAAATCTGACTCTATTTCTTTTTTTTTTTTTTTTGTATTTTAGGACAGGGTGTAGGGTTTACAGGGTCTCACTAAGTAGATCGGACTCATAGTGATCCTCCTGTTTACAGCCTCCCAAGTGCTGGGATAACAGGCATGTGCCACAACACTCAGTCTCAGTTGCTGTCTCAGCTTGCCTCGGGGGCGGGGCCAGGGCAACTGGCCCAGTGATAGAACTCCCAGCCCCTGCGCCTCTTGCAGGTACTTTAATCCGCTGAACTATTTGATCTGCTGAGCTATTTGGGTATTTCAATCATATTAAACATCCTTTCTACAGAACCTTCTTTCTGCATTTTGCAGACCTGATTTCAGCACCCTCCCTCACCCGCCTCAGGGCCCTCACCTACTTCCCGCCATTCTCACAGTTACTCATCCTCAAACCACTCCTTCACAAATTAATAAAATGTGGGTTCGACTACCCTGGGTTGAGGCCTTTATTCCGGTTAGCCATCATAGTAGCTGGACTTAGGGCCCCTTGGTTCCCCATAATCAACAACACGCCTTGGTGTCTCTATTCTTACCATGGGTTGCACTGTAAGTGCTACGCTGGAACACACTCTCTAGTATTCCAATAATTTTTCCATAGGATTACAAATATAAACCTCCTGGGCCAAGCTGGGGACTGGAAAGGACTCTCTATATCATCAACTAAGGGAGATCCTGTATCAAGACAAAGCAAGAGGGCTGGTGAGATGGCTCAGTTGTCTAAAGCACCTACTTAGAACAAGCTAAGCTGAGCAAAGCACAGGGACCACGGTTCAATCCCCCAGCACATGCCAGCCAGCCCCACCCCCTGGAGGGCTGAGCTGGCCACACACACACACACACAAAATAAATAAATAAATAAAATTATTAAAAAAAAAAAGACAAAACAAGAAACCTTTTAAACAAGGCCTGGGGATTTAGCTCAGAGTGAAGGCCTGGATTCAATCCAAATAACTGCCCTACAATGCTGAAAAGAGGTAAGTGGTTAAGAGCTTTGATTCGGGAGTCTCCTTGCCAGGGTTCAAATCCTTCATCTACCACCCAGGAATGCTGGCCCTGGGATAAGTTCACCTCTCCCCCAGCTCAGTTTCCCCAGCTTAAATAGCAATGCCCGCCGAAGTCACCTGACACCAAGGCCATGTACTCTGTACCAGCTGCCACCAGCATGGCATAGCCTCCACCATCATGGCCATCGTTATCACAGCTGAGGGGTCAGCAGTGCCTCTGCTACTAACCTGGAAGTCACCTGGGAAGTCACCAGGGAAGTCACTAGGTGTCCCCATGTCTCACCCTGTGCCTGTGTCACATGGGTTGGGAGGACTGTCCCTTCCAAGGGTAAGGGTTAAGCCCACACTCATGGCTTCAAAACCAGGACACTCACTGCAGGGCGTGGAATTTGGCTGTGAGCCTTGTGCTGTGGACCCCAGGCCTCTTCTCAGGGACGCTTCAGCTGGACCCTGGCGTCCGTCAGTGCCCTCATGTTTTGGGGCCATGGCTTCCACGGGGAAGCTGCTGGAAATAGGATGTGGGAAGCGGGGCAGCCAGCTGTTCTTCCGGGAACGCATTCCCAAACCTTGAGTGAGGCCCACTGGGGACTGCTGGGGTTTGACAGCGGCATGAGTGACCTCCAGTGTTCTCCCTTTCCTGTAGCACACCCCGGACAACAGTTTCTACTCTGTGGGGCTCCTAGGATGATTGGAAGACACAGCCAGGGCAAGTGGCCTATATTGGGTGACTGCCCCAGGTGCCAGGGCCTGCATCCTATAACTAAAGCAAGTAATGTTCTGGATGATGATGATTTTTTTTTTTTTTTCTTCAGAACCGGGGATTGAACTCAGGCCCTTGCACTTGCCAGGGAAGCGCTCATTCCACTGAGTCATCTCCCCAACCCCTGTTCTTGATGATTCTAATAGCACAAAGAAAATAAAAGGGGGGGATGAGTGAGTGACATGGGTCAGTGCAGTGGCCTCTGTAATGTCAGCTGAGACCCCAGCACCACTGCCAGGTGCAGCTAGGGCCCTGTCACAGGGTACTGGTTCTACACACTCAGCGTATGTATCAGCATTGCCAATCTTCCCTCTAGCCCCAGTATGGGGGGAAATACCAGAGACCCCCACTAGGTACCAGTAGGGACTTTGCTCCATTATATCTGCTCAATGTCTTTTTTTTTTTTAAT